AATTAATAAAAAAATATAAGTTATTAAAGAAATAGAAAATAAAATCTATACTATTTCATAGACCTTATGATTGGAAGTCATATATACCTATATGCTATACAGATAGTGAATACCTCATCAGTAAATAGAGATATAGAGAAATAATCACACAATATCGACAAAGTGTCAATACCAAGCTGCTGCCCCGAATCCAAAGTGGTTATTTATATGCCGGAGTAAATAGATTTATAAAAAAGTTGTTCCAATTAATACGTGAATTCCATGAAATTCAGTGGCTATAAAAAATGTAGAGCCATAGAGAGGATCTGCAATTGTGAAGGGGACTTCAATGTACTCATATGCTTGCAGTATACTAAAATAAATGCCTAGTAAAACAGTAAAAAATAATCCTTGAGTGGCTTGGGAATGATTTCTTTTTATGAAACTGTGGTGAGCTCAAGTAACTGTAATTCCTCATATTAATAGAATAATGGTATTTAATAATGGAATTTGAAATCGATGCAAAGTAAAGGTAATTACAACATTATAAAAATATATTTATAAATTACTTATTTTTGGTTTTCTATTTCAGAATAAAAAGGATACACCAGCAATACGATAAGGGAAAATCAGTTAGGAATCGAAGCAATCTAAAGGTAAATATATTATTATATATTTATATTTATATATTACTTATTTATTTCTTCTATTTTAGATAAAAAAAATTACATCCAAATCTCCGCTCATCGCCTCTTTTACACGGAGGTTCGCTGTATGTAAAAGGTAAGTTTGCATTTACCTTTTCTTATTATTATGTATAAATTATTCATTTGCTTTTATTTCATTTTAGTTTTAAAAAAAAAATACGCACTATCACTTCAGAAAAATGCGATACTTCCGTAGACCAAATAGTAAGTTGTACTCATCTTTATATATAAAATTCAGTAACCACAATATTTTACTTTTGCAGGTACCAACGCACTGGCACAGCAGCGATCCTTATGTATTTATATGTATTTTTTATGTATTGTGTGTGCATATTATGTATTATTATGTATGTGGGCTTTTTTACCCAAATCCTGATGCCGAATTTTTTTTTTTTTCTTTGGATCAAATATCGTTGTAAATAATTTATAACAGCGATTTTTTACTATTATAAATTCAGGCTGAGATTTGTCTTACATTTTCTATTTATCCACAGTAATTTTCTTGGTGCTTTCTTTTGCTTAATCTAATTTTGTCAGGATGATTCTTGTTTTGTTTCAAAGAGTTTTCTACTCTGTTATTATAATTTCCTCAGGTTGATCTTTGTAATTTTGCTTTATTTTAACACTTCGAACTAAGAATTTTCTCGTCCGCTCGATAATACTGTCACCTTTCACTGCTTTTATCCGACTCCCCTTTTACTTTCTCTCGGTTACCCCAGCACTCACAAACTTGGCTTCAACTTTGGTTTATTTCTCTTTTCTCTACTTTCTCCTTGCTTAATCCTAACACTCCTAGCCTAACTTACTCTAGCACTGACAAACCTACCAAACTTCGGATTAAGCCAATTATTATCAACTTCTTCTGATTTCTCTTTACCCTAATTTCTCTTTACTTAATCCTAACTCTCTTAGCCTAAGTTACTCTAGCACTCCCACTCAGAGACGAAGAATCTGTGAGGCCAAAACGAGGGATGACTTTGTTTCCTCGCAGATCCTCCGTTCATCAGGGAGTGGCTGACGATGCGCCTTCCGAGAGTGGCCTGTTGGCGAAAAAGCTTCGATGTGGAGGGTGCTTCTCAGAGCCTCCGGCTACATCGTCGGCTGGACCGTTCGGCTGTCTACTCTCCCGGCAGCTGACTGTGATCACAGACAGCTCCCCGTCTACCTATAGATTTCCTTAAATGCGCGATATTTCATGATCTTGTGAACGTGTTCGTTCGATTACGAAAGACCTTTGCGCCGAGGCGCTGTTTGTTGTTTCTTTTCAACGTTGTAACGATATAGTTGTTGGGAAATGTAGTCGATCCGTTGTTGATGATTTCTGTTATTGCTATGCCCAGAACACTGCTGCCGTTGTTTCCGATGAGCAACAGAGACTGTGATTTGCTGCAGTTGTTGTGGTGGGTCTTTAGCGTCTACGCTTGACGGGCTTAACGTCTTGCAAATGAATTCGTGTGGAGGTGTCCTCGGTCTGGATGATGTTCGGGGATTCAAATCGAACCACCTTGTAAGGCCCCTGGAATCGAGGTGCCAACTTGGCGGCGAACTGGTGTAGAAAAATAAGTAGGCGACGCTTTTTTTGAAGGAAGGAAAAAAGAAAAAAAGAATTTTTTTTGGGGAGTTCTCATTTTGAGTTTGAAGTGATTAGTCATTGGAATTTAGGAAGGAAAGCAAATTTTGACGTTCACAATTTTTTTTGGTAAAAAAAAAAGGAAAAAAATCTTTTAAAATTTGTAATAGTAAATTATTGCATTAAAAAGACTGTAAAATTAATTCTTATCAATTGTTAATAAAAGAAGTGAAAAACAATTGTAAAATTTGTTAATATATGAAATGAAAAGCAATCGTAACTTTTTTCATAAAAGAAATAAAAAACGATTGAAAAATTTGTTACAAACATTACGGAACCGTTGCAAACCAATGTGAAGAGGCCTATTGGATATTACAAAATCCCGTACAACTGCGTGGATCTACCCAGCAGAACTCATAATGAAAATCCACGCAGACTCAAACTTAAAGACCCTCATGGGACAAAACAGCGACATCAATAAGTCTATCAGCAAATCGTCCACATCATTTCTGCAGCTTTTAATTGTTTAGTATTTTTAGAATAAAAAAAAAAAATTTATAATATTGTAATATTTAATATATAGTTTTTTTGTGTACATTCGGCGATTTTTCAATTTGGGTGAGTTTTACGTTAATATTAATTAAATAAGATATATTTAACTTAATTAGTATTAATTTGGAAAATTATCAATAATTATATGATTTCTTTTGTAAACATTCATATTGTTTATTTTACTTATTAAAATGCCAGTTAACTAAATCGTTAGGTGGCTCTGGCTGGCGAAGTAAGATTACACACCGCGGTTCTTCCTGGACCACTTGCATTTTACTAGTTAGCCACCGGCATGCTACGGATGGCCACACAGTTGAACTCTTCGGGTGTCTGACGGGAGAGCGCGTCCGCCACGACATTTCTCGTTCCGCGCCGACTTAATCGACTTCGAAGTCGTACTGCTGTAATTCCAAAGCGCACCTGGCTAATCGACCAATCGGGTTATCCATAGAGTTCGGCCACTTCAAGGATAGATTATTGGTTAAAATGTTAAAAAGGTGACCCTCCAGATATGGCCTCATCTTTCTTGTGCAGCCGTGTAGTTTCTATTGGCACTATTCAGTATCTCGGCTGGCATACGTAACCACGCGTTCTTCTCCATCGATCTTTTGTGTTAGGACGGCTCTTAACCCGGTGACGCTGGCATCCGTCTGCTTGGTAGAGGACCTCGAAAAGTCAGGGCAGGCCAAGATATTTTAACCTTCTTGATGAATTCGGGGGGAGATAAACTATGCTTTAATGGGGACCATAGGTGGCCGAAACCCTCACCTCCTAGCGGTGATCCAAGCGCAACGGCTTCGGGCGGCTAAGAAGGGTTTAACGTTTTGGGCTACTAACTCGGCGACGAGTTTCTGAGAGATGGTGGAGGGGTTGGCTGGAAGATGAACTCTTCACTCAATAGCTAGTTACTACCTAGGAAATTTCTGAATGGTATTAAGTACGTTGAAGGTAGTAATCTAGCGATTGCATGGTAGATCGCCCCTGCCATGTCAGTGCAATACCCGAGACCTATATATCTCGAAGATAAGTAGTTCTTGGTGTTGGCTACCAGGATGTATGGAGAATCCGAATGCAAGTGTGGTTGTTTTTACAACCGCCCAAAGTATGCCAAAGGTTTTGCAAAATAAATTAGGAGCCACAGAGGTCAGAAGGCTCGCCTCACACAGCCACGTATGCCTGCGGATATATGATGGACTTTGTTCAAAAGTCGTAATAAATAAAACTCACCCTTAAAGAATTATTTTTAATAATAAAAAGGCTCCCTTCTGGCCATTTTAATGATAAAAAGGAAATTGACGGAAGGCTTCCCCTTTGGCCTGTATAAATCCCTATTCTACAAAAACTGAGAATTTTTCACTATAAAAAAATAATATAAAAAAGAGTTGATAGAAGGCTTTACTCTTTTTGCCGACCATACTTTTGAACATATGTCACGGATGCCTGC